TTAGAATTAAGACTCGTAGATAAGTTAGCAGTAAGAAATTGTAAAACTTGTCTGAAATAAATAATGTCCAAGGCGTGATAGGGAGAGTGAAGTGACAGTAGCGACTGAATGCAGATGAGGTTACACCCCGCGAGTCGGAAGACCGAGTTTTACGTTTGTTATTGTTATTGTTTGTGAAGTTGACGGTAATTTTGAAGTTAGTTTGTTCCTGAACGTCAAATTCTAGCTCAATTTTAATGCTGTCTCCCTCGTTTGTCGAACTGTTTACACCGGAATTGCACCCGTGAATGAGTTTTGAGAACCATCGTAGGAATGATGTTTTAAATCAGTCCTGTATCTGAAGAATCCGTTTTTATTTGGGTACGGGTATTGGTCAGGGAACATAAAATCCATCCCGACAAAACGTATTAAAGCCGCAGGACGAATCGCCCAGTGGGCCACACTGATGGTAAAAAAGTAAAATGGAATAAATAAATTAATGAAATAAAATTACTCCTAGTTATTACTCATTAAAAGTCTCCAAACAGAACAAAAATTGCTCTGAAAAACTGAGAAATTTGCAAAAAACTAGATCAGAAATACGGTAGCAATGTTTTTCAAGGTAATCTGCCTAATTAACACAACCTGTTGCTTTGTAATTATTTAAAACTCCGGTAACCATGGAATTATACAGAGTGACAATAAGATAAAAAAGATAAACGGTAAACAAGATTTGTTGACTGCGGAACGTACTTTCGAAATGTCACTCTGTTCTCATAACCTCTCTAAATTGGAGTTTATAAATAAACCATACAACACCAAACATTTGAATAGTTAACTCCAAGCAAGCTAGTGCCTGTATAATCTCCTTATTATCCACTATTATCAAGCAGCTTCTCGTATTCAGTTAATTAACTCTTGCTCCATTTGCGTCTCCTTGTGCTCTGTGTATGGTACAAACGTGGTAGGAATGTAGCCCTTCCTCGGTATTTATTTGGTGCTTGGGGAAGTGTCAGTTATTGTGCTCTGAGTGCCCCTGGAAGGCCCTGATTCGGTTATGTCGAATAGGTGTTTCTCTGTGCCTGAAACCCGAACATCTATCGTCCACTATCTTTCTGCAACCACTCTCCTCGCCCTGTGTTGGCGTGAGTTCTTTCAGGTTCTGCTATGTTACTGTAGCTAATCGCATATCAGCAAATTCGTGAAAGGAAAGAAATTCAAAGTAAGTCCACATATTACAGATCAGAACAGATCTGAACAGAGTAGAGATTGGATAGTTTTGCTTTGCCGCCAAAATAATTTTGCTAAATGCAACCACAGAGAGGCGTCGTCCAAAAATCCAGAGGATCAGCTGATTATTTTCATGCGTTTGTTTTGTAGGTATATCCATAAGAGGGCTCTGAGATAGAGTATTTTACAGTTAAGATTATTGCTGTCAATTTTCAATTTGCAATCATAAGCATTTTCAACTAGTTTCAGCACGCTAACTTTTTACTATTGAAGATTTAGAAAATCATTTTATCTTCTATGTTGTGATAACTGTTATATTTATCTTTGTGTTCGAAACTGTGAAAATAACCATAGCAGACGACATCGATTGCCTAAAAATCAACCAGAGACTATTAAAGCCTGGCTTAAAATCGTTAATCCCCCAATTATGAGATATTGCCTGCATTGAAAATATACAACAGGTTTTATGTTTGTGACGATCATTTCGCTCCTGAGTGTTTTGTTCCCGGAACATTAAGAGGCTTAAAAGGTAATGCGATCCCTACACTTAATCTTCCACAGGAAATTTCAGGTATGTAATGGATAATTTTTAGTATTACAAACTATGATATTAATATGTGCATGAAGCTGAAATCTAATAGTTCAAAATGTCTCTGAACTATCAACTATTTGCATAGAATGAGTATTCCCATAATAAGCTATCAGTATAATCATCCTAGAAATATATTTAAAAAGTAGATAGCATGGGTAGTCAATAGGCAGATTGCAGTTTCAGTTAGTTGCAATTGTACACTAGAATTTTAGCTCTCGTTTAGGTCA